AATTTTGAAATGGTTGGAATGTCAGTCATTGATCGTCCTGATTCGATCTGACGATCGCGATTGCAGAGGCGAACTGAATCCGCAATTGAACTGAAGTCGTCGATGAAGCGAATGCGAATCGAACGGTAGCGACGTTAGCGATGTTGGCGGGAATTCTAACACATGTCAAAGGTCGGTGAATCAGAAACCGTCGATGTTGATGAAGCCATCGCGACCGTTCGCCGTGCTAAATCTGTCAGATGCAACTGTCAGAAAACTGCCAAGTACTGTGCGAAAGCACACTTTCTCCCGCCCCTTGAACAAAAGGGTAGACCCCCAATGTATTATAGCTGCGCGGGAATGAAACTCCAACCACCCTGATTCCGGGGATGGTCAAGAACACCAAGTATTACAACTACTCTTTTCACGACGGGTTCTTTTGCGTGCATTATCAAGCACTGCTGCATCTCCGCCGTTGGCACGGATACTGTCAGTCCTCAAGGCCGGCTCAGTTAAAACACATCCTTGGAACTGCTCGTGTACCCGCAAATGTCGGAAATGAAAATCGCATTACGTAAATCTTGGTCGCCCGCAGGTTGTCATCCGAAAGAACCGGTGTTTCTAGCACGCCCACTCGGTCACCATTTTTTTCGTGCGGTTAACCACCCAAGCAACCCACCAATAGGAGGTGTTTTTTCAGCGTGGAACCCAATACGTATGGGTCGTCCGAGACAGATGTTCACGGACCCTAGCACGCATCAACGCTGCATATCTCGCCGCATAACTTCTCCAGGTAACTTCGCAAGTATACTGTAAAACGCTTAAACAACTGGCGAGCAGATGTTTACCCGTCCCCCACCATAGAAATCTCAACCAAAAATCGTGGTTGCAGCAACAAGCCCCGATGTATTTCCACCGAGTAGCTCTGACGTTTTCGCGGTGCTTTGAAGTTCACCCATCTCCACACATGCCACGCGGCAGATCCTAGGTATCATTGGCGATGCACACCTCTGCCGCGCCTCTTTACATAAAAACCGACCCCTTCTGGCATCCCCAAATAGACCCTAAAATCGTGGAGGAGTTGTGCACAGGCTCAACCGCACTCAAGAAGCTTGAAGGAGCACCCACGACTTTCCCTCCAATTTTTTGTCTTCACCCCCGACAATTTCGCTTTCCGCCGTTCACACTGCGCCCGCTTTTGTCGGATGATGTATTCTCTGTGTTGCCCGCGATTTTTATTATGTTCGATGAAGGTGCGAACGCTATCGTAGTTGGAGCAAGTTTATCATATCAAACTCTCTGCTGGCCACTTGTCGGATGCCATAGGCCTTTCCTTCTCCCCTGCTGCTTCCCTGCTCGTCACTGCTAACCTACTCCTTTGTCTGGCTGTTTCTCCCCACCCTTTCTCTTCTCATCCCTCCTTCCTCTCCTTCCCTCTTCCAGGGCCCACGCTTCCTTGCCGATTCACCCACTCGAAAAATCCCCCTGATTGAACGACGGTCTCCTCTCTCTCTGGATGGCTTTGCTAGGAAGATAGCACACACCACTCCACTATCTCGAGAAAACAAACAAACGAGCAAGAATTCAGTGAACGCTAGCTACCTATGTACAATGCAGTTCTGGGCTAGCTACTGACTCCTTGCACTGGGCGTGGGCGAGGGGAGGACCTGCACACACACACACCAGCAACAGGTGCACACCACAAGCAAGCACATTCTCATCCGACATGCAATGCATCTCAACCACACACGCAGCCCACATATGTACAGGCGAGACCACCACCGTCCGTGTCTCGCAACTGCTTCTCTTACACCCCTCCCCCCGGCTGCACTCTCCTGTCAACCCATGTGAAACCCCATCTTCGCTGCCATCACTGTAGACGCGAGACGTCTGCATTCTTCCCTGCACTGAGTTGGCTGCACCCTGCTGCTCAGATCCAGCTGTCTCCCTTGGCACTCGCAAATTCTCTGCTGTATGTTTTTTCGCTAGCACAGTCCGAAATACACTTCCATGTCGCATGCAACAGAACCTTATACTTTCTTTTTTTATGTGACAGCTGTCGGATGCCATAGGCCTTTCCTCTCCTCCCGTGCTGCTTCTCTACTCGTCACTGCTAACCTACTCCCTTGTCAGGCTGTTTCTCTTCTCATCCCTCCTTCCTCTCCTTCCCTCTTCCAGGGCCCACGCTTCCTTGCCGATTCACCCACTTGCCCCCTTCCGGGACCTGTCTGGCTCCTGCTGCTGGTCCTTAGGAACCCCCTTCATCTTGCTCCCTGCCGCTCGGGCCACGCTAGTCACGTGATCATTCCGCTGCTTGCCATCCTCTGACTCGAGCACCAGCACTCCCGAGGGCTTCACTTCCTTCACCACCCAGCGCTCGGTGGACAGCCCCACATCCAGGCTATCTTTCTTTGCCTTCCTGATGTACACCTCCATTCCGCTCTCCACCACCTTCGCCTTTCCTTTCCCGGTTTGTAGCAGCCCCTGCTGGTATCGCTTTGCGTCCCTTAACTGCGCAGTATCCAGGTTCTCCAGTGCCTCCGGCTTGATCTTCTTCAAGTACCTGGCCCTGCAGTCTGCCAGTGCTGCCCATTTCTCAGGGGATCCTGCCCTGACCACCTCCGTCAGAACCTTGGGCGCACCCACTGGTAGCATGGGTTCTTTCCCGTACAACAGGTAGTAAGGCGAGTAGTCTCTGAGCGTCGCCTGCTTGCTGAACCTGTATCCAACCCTAAACCCAGTGCAGCTCCTAGTCCCAGTCTCTCTTATGCTCCTCTCTGTAGGCGCGTAGCCCTCTCTTGATTGTCTGTACCATGCGTTCGGTCAGCCCGTCTGCCTGCGGATGGTACCTTGATGTCCGCCGGTGAGTTATCCCCACGCTTGTCAGTAGTTGATCGAAGCCACCTCGGAACTCTGTGCCCTGGTCCGTCAGCACTTCTCCGCACGCCCCGAACCGCGTGAGCACCTGGTCGGTGAATGCCTCTGCTATCAGGTCGGCGCTTTTGCTGCTGAGCGCCCGCACTTCCACCCACTTGGACACATGCTCGATCATCACCAGCACATACCGCTTGTTCTTGCGGCTCAGCGGCAGCTCTCCCGCCAGGTCGAATGACCATCGGTATCCCAGCCCGCGGATGGGCAGTGACTGCAGCTCTTGCTGTTCTCTCTCCAGTTTTGCCTTGTTCCTGCTGCATAGCTCACAGTCGCCACCACTTCCTTCACGTCCCGCTGTAGTCCGGCCCACCACCACCCCGTGGTCAGCAACTGTGCCGTCCTTACATGGCCGTAGTGTCCCAGTTGGCTGTGCACTTTCTCTATCAGTGCCCTTCTTTCCCCAGGCGTTGGGACTAGCTTCCACCCGTCCTTGGTGTCCACCTGCAGTTGCTCCTGGTACCACCTGTAATGCCTTCCTCGTGCTCGTGCTCTCTCTCCCACGTCTTCCTCCGCCTCGATCTCTCCTCTCACCCACTTCAGCACCACCTCGTCCTCCCACACGTCCTCTGGTCCCTTGCCACGGTGTCTGGCCTCCTCCGTCTCCCACATTCCACATGCTTGCGCCACGAGGCAGGCGGACGGAGAGTTTTCTTGTGGCCGTGGCGGGTTTTGTGAGAGACCGTCCACGTGCTGGAGCGTCTTTCCTGGGCGGTGCCGTATCTTGAACTCATACTCCTGCAGCCCCATTGCCCACCTCACGTTCCTCCCGGTCAGCGTCTGATTGGTCATGAGCCATGTCAGAGGCTGGTGATCTGTCACCAACGTGAACGGGCTCCCCTCCAAGTAGACCCTGAAATGCTCCACCGCCCACATTGCGGCCAGCTCTTCGCCTTCGTAGGAGCTGTAGTTGGCCTCGGTGGGGCTGCAGCTCTGGCTGGCGAACGCCACCACTCTCACTCCGCACTCGGTTTCCTGGCACAGCACCGCTCCCATGCCCAGTCTGCTCCAGTCCATGTATAGGACGAAGGGCTGATCCCTCCTGGGCAGGACCAAGACTGGCCCTATCTTGACCGCTCCGAGCAGATCCTTCAGCGCCCTTTCCTCCTGATCCCCCCACCGCCACGCATTGCTCTCCTTCATGAGCTGATTCAGCAGGCTCGCCCCCTTGCTGAAGTTCGGCACAAACTTCCGGTAATAGTTTAGAAATCCTAGTATCGCCCGCAGCCTGCTCCTGTCCGTTGGTGCTGCCACCTTGTCCAGCACCGACACTTTCGCCTCTTGGATGGACAGAGTCCCGTCCGAGACCTCGAAGCCCAGGTACTTCACGGTCCTTTCCCCGGATCTGCATTTGTTCGGGTGGCAGGTCAGCCCCGCCTCCATGATCGCTCCCAGCACCCTCTCCACGTCCGCCACGTGTGACGCGCTATCATTGCTAAAGATGACCACGTCATCGATGTAGCAGGCCGCGCACTCAATGCCCCTCAGGATCGTATCCATTGCCTGCTGGAATATTGCTGAGGATTTCCGCATGCCAAATGGTATCCCATTCCATTCCCAGAGCCCGTCTACCCCATGGAACGCCGTCTTCGCACGGTCTTCTTCCCTAATCTGGATATGGTTGAACTCTTGCTTCAGATCCAACGTGCTGAACACTGTTGCTCCCACCAATTTGTCAAATATCTCCTCCGGTGTCAGCACGGGGTACCGGTTCGCCTTCGTGATCTTGTTGAGATCCCAGTAATCCCCGCACATGTGCCTAGAAAGGATCTCTCCTGTCGCGTCCTTCTGTGCTGCGACCACTGTCGCTGCTGCATACTCTGACGTCGAGCGCCGTATCAGGACGGCCTCGAAGAGCTCTCTGCACTTTTCCTTGCACACTTCCTCGTCCGCTCTAGTCATACGCCATTTCCGCTGGAAGGTGGGCGTGTCCGACGTCAGCTCAATCTTCATCTCTCCGATTCTGCACCTGCCCAACTCTTTTAGTGTATACGCGAAGGCTCTTCGGTACCTCTTCAGCATCCGCTTCATGCTGTCCGCTTCTTGCGCCGAGAGTGCTGGGCCCACCGTCCAAGTCTCTTCTCCGTCTCCTACCCCCGCGTCAGCTTGCTCTGCACGATCTTCCTGTCTTCCAGCGCCATGAACGACTGCATGCAGCTCTGCTTCGCTAGACGGCTGTGTATGGCCACTCTGCTCTCTTCCTCTAGGGGCCATCCGTTCTTCCTAATCTCCTCTTTGCTGCTCAGCAGCGCTTCCAACTTACGTTTCTCCGTATTAAGTCGGTCCTGCGCTTCGCTGTTTTCTCCGCCTCCTTCAGCCCACCACTCCTTCTCCTCCACCCTGATGTCCATGTCCCACAGCAGGAGCTGTACTTCCACCGTATGGAGCAGCCACTCCATAGCTTGTACGTCCATCCCTTGCCCCAACGCTCACCTGCGCTCCCACTCTCTTACTCCTAGCGCTGCCGTCACCCCTGGCAGGAAGCCAATGACCAGTTCCCGCTCCAGCGCCGTCGGCTCTTCCAACTCCTTGGTCCTCTGGTTCTTGACCATCCCCAGCCCTGGCACGCCTCCCTTCATTCGAAAAGCGTGTGAGCCGTAGTGCGCCACTAAGGTCGGCCACGCTTGCCTCGGCTCCCCGGGCTTGTTACACGGGTAGTGCGCGGGGTGGTCCGGGTACTGCACTGGTGCCTCTTCTCGATTCGGTTCCACGATGTCACGGATGAGCCTGGCTGCCGGCCTCTCAACCTTGGACAATTCCAGCCTTAGTCGACCTTCCTATATCCCGTTCTGCCAGTATCTATGGTCCCGGTGCCCCCGGGACCCTGCCTGTGCAGCATCCAGGGCCACTCCTGCCCCCAGCTCAGTAGTCACTCGCTGGTGTGCCGCTTGCACACGCTCTCTGGGGTCCGTCACAAAGTTCAGGTTCTCCAGTACGTACAGGTACTCTCCATGTAGCCGGTACGCCAGCATCATGATCCGCATCAGGTGGTCGAATAGGGCGGTTCTTTCATCGTCCATGCCCATTCCCTGTCCGGCCCAGGACACTCCTTGGCATTCCCATCCAGCAATGAGCACATCTATCCTTCCCGACGTGGCCACTCCTGCCTCAGTTATCTTCTGTACTTCATGCACCGCGTCCTCCCAGTTTCCGTCTGTTGCACCGTCTAGAATCTGCCCCGGGTAGGTTCGCTTGAGCATCTCCACGTGGTGGCGTGCCATCTCTCGCATTGTTGGGTTTGCTTCCACGTAAGTTCACTTTTCGATCGCCCACCCCGCCTTCAGTGCCGCTGCCAAGCCCGTGCCGAGTCCGCCGAATAGTTCCAAAAAAAAAAAAAGTACGGCTCGAGATTGCTGGTTTCAAATTAATGGGACAAACTAGGTCGGTTTGCACGCACCACCACAGCAGCACTCACCACTACAGCAGCACTCACCACCACAGCAGCACTCACCAACACGGCAGCACTCACCACCACAGCAGCACTCACCAACACAGCAGCACTCACCAGCACCATAGCAGCTGAAGGAGCGGAAACGGAAGCCAGGAGAGTTGATGTTGCACGCTCACATGCAGAGAATGGATGTGAGAGCGACACAGGTTGGAGGGAACGCATTGCACACGAGAGAGGAAAAGGGATGAGAGCGAAGGAAGCACTCTGGTCTGGTCTGCTGGGGCACGCTCTGGTCTGCTGGGGCACGCTCTGGTCTGCTGGGGCACGTGTTCTGGCTGCTGGTGCGCCTGCGGCTGTTGCTGTGCATGCGACTGCTCCTGCGCGGGCAGCAGTGCGTGTGTGGTCGCGCCCACGGCTGCGCGTATGCGTGCGCGGCTGCGCAAGTGCAGCTGCGTGCTCAGCGAGTGCAGCTGCGTATGTGCGATACGTCTCTAGAAAATTGGACCCCCCAAAATGTCCCCTCAAACTCACCCCGAGGTTACCCCTAGGTATGCTTGGGGGAGGTAACCTGTGGGTGTTAGACAAGGTTACCTTGCAGATAAGGGGTAACCTCAGGGGTAAGGGCGTGCAACCATTTTGCCTATATTTGTTCCGGACGGTCCAAAATGTGGACCGTCCGGGTAAGCGAAGGGTTACCAAAGTCGCCAGTAATCGTAAGTGTGTTCGTGAAACTACTTGCAATGTCGCCTACATTCCGAACCGTCATGCCACTTTTTCACATTTCCAACGGTCTGAAATGACATTTCGGACGGTCCGAAGCCCCAACGGACGGTCCGCCAGTTCTGTGCAGGGATTGGCGCGCGAATTTCACTGTGCAAACATGCGCAGGGATTTGCACGAATTTGATTCGCGAAATTGCGACAGCTAAAATATTTGGTTACGAGTGTACAGTAGTCGCGAACTCGGAGTACTAGCAAAAAGTGTCATGTTTTTCTCCGGACGGTGGCAAGGTTCCAAACCGTCACATCGGACGGTCCTGTTCTCGATATTAGGACCGTTCGTTTTAGAATATTCGAACGGTCCGTAAAATCACAATAAATCAAAATGGCTACACGCCCTAACGAACAAGGTCACCTTAGGTGCGCCCACTGGGGTTACACTCAACTCACACACAACTCATCCGCAACTCACCCACAAGAAACCTCACGCTAAATTGACCTGCCTTCTGATTGGCGTTCAGCGCAAAGGTACACGTGGAATGATTACCTTTGATTGGCTCCGAGAATCCAACCACCACATGAAGCGGTGCCTTCTAGTTGGTTCGTGTAAGTATGAGGTGTCAAGGGTGCGATTTTGTGTACAGTAGTTCATTTTGAAAACTAATTGCTTCGTCACTGTTAGAAGTTAGATAATTGACAGCTTTGCATCATGTAAAAACATTTCCAATCATTCTCTTACAAAGGTCACATTCACTGATATTACGAATCACTATGGCATGCATTACCAACAGCCATTTCCAGTACTCTATTGGTTTTCCCTAAAAAAACACATGTACTTCAGCACAGGGGAATTGAAAGGCAGAAGCTACTTCTTCCTAAACAACGCTGCCAACAACAACACCACACACGCGCACACAAAAAAACTGCCGAAAAGGTTACGGGTGAGAGATCAGAAGTGCCTTCGTCTCACCTCTTAGGTATGGTGCCAGAACATGATGACTACTTGGACTTAAGATGAACATACTAGCGTCGCTGCCACGAGCGTCGCAAGTATAAATATGCGCTGTCGCGAGACATAGAGACCCGAATAGTAACCTGAGAAAAGAAGGGACCTGGAAATCGAACATAGGAAGAGCGCAGGGATGTGCGAAATGTAACCAGCACCACTGTATACTCGCTATGTATCTAAATCAGAAAAACTTGCAAATGTCAGGGGGTTGGGCTCGTATAGAGAAACGACGTACAAAAAAAGAACGAGGGTAACGTGGAATACTCTCACCTTGACTTTCGCGACGCAGCTTATAATTCTTGAGCAATTGCCTCAATCGCCATCGTGACCTGGGAAATGAGAGGAGAGAAGGTATAGGAGTTGTACAGAGATAAACTTAGCAGAGGGTTGAGAAGGTTAAAAAATGGAGCTCGCCAAACTGAAGAGGTGAGCAAAATGTGAAGTTTTGTTGATATCAGAGCATGTCACATATCGTCATGACACCTAGGTTGGACAGGAAACTAAGAATAGACACCACTGAAGGGTAGATTACTACGAAATGACTTGCCTGCTGAGCTCTGGAAATGTGCGGGACTGAACAATATAGGCCTAGAGTTGGAAAAGGAGCGCGAACAGTGGGTAGCATGCGAAATGTAACCTTAGTGATAGTTGTTTCATGAACTGATGTGCAAGCTAGCGATAGGACGAGCAAAATGCTGAAGAGCAACAGCTTGCGTGTCGCACTGTTGTATGACATGAGATGACAAGCTGGCATAAAATCAACAATGTCCCATATAACAAGTCTCGATATAGTTCTGAGTCAGCTTTATTAGGCTAACAAAAGTCTATGTATAGTAAGTCGTCATGCTCTACAGTTGCTAATTTTGTTGAAAGGCAGAACGCTCGCGATGATTGATTTCGCCCCAACCGTTTCTGGTTACCTTTTCGAGAGTTCGTTCTCAATCCTATTGGCCACAAACTTTTCGTAACAACGTAGAGGGGAGTCTGAGGGTAGTTTTGGGCGGGTATAGTGACTTTGGGGTGGGTTCTTGGCTTCATGCTAGCGAGTTTTTGTAGGTTACCTCAAGGTAACCTCCATTGGAGGGGAGTTTGTAGGGGGGGTTTGTAGGCAAGCAACATTTTCTAGAGGTACGTCCAGCTGCGCCTGCGCGGCTGTGGCCATGTGGCTGCGCGTGCGCGACAGCGTGCGTGCGCGCGCTGCTGAGAGTTGGGCAGCGAGCGGGTCCGGGGCAGCGCACTGTAGCGCGGGGCAGTGCAGGGCAGCGTGCGGGGCAACGCACACGCGCGCGCGACTGTTCGCAGCTGGCTGCGTGCGAGGCGGGACGGGTAGCGGGGCGTCACGGGACGGGAACGGGGCGTGACAGGTATTGGGATGGGATGGGATGGGCTAAGCTAGGGTGATAGGGTCCTAACTTGAACATGATACCATCTCCGGAATGATGAACTAAGATCTCATTCCTGGTTCTGACACCATCCGAAGTTCGCCCACCTAAAGGTGTTTTGGCGTGAGGATGGTGTCCGTGTAGGGCAAGGCCCCACCTCGGCAGGGTCTGGCAGTCGACCACTGTTGCGCATGTCGTTTGGGTTTGATGCGAGACACATTGCTAGCGTTAACTGCTAACTGCCAATACTAAGTGTCGGGCATTGAAAAATGAATTGGGTAGCCAATTTCGGGCCGCGTGTTTTGTATTAATGCGATAAGTGATTCAACTTACTTGGATTGGGCAGACATTTTGAGGGAACCAGCCCACAACAAAACACTGTAGGTACAAAGCAAATAACATCAATCGAAATGACTGGTTTGTTGCACGATCGCACAGTTCGAAAATTGGCGTGCATGTTGGTCGCTAGTTCTGTGGCCAAAAGAAACCAAAGGTTCCGGACTACGGACCGCGTGATCCAACATTGAAATGTTATTTTTTGAAATTGCGCACCTCGTGGGCAAACTTCGGATGGTGTCCGGACCAAGAACGAGATGGTGTCCGGACCAGGAAAGTGGAGGATACAAATACCATACAAACCTATAGGTGTTTGTCGAAACATTGTAATGTTTATATTGTGTAGGCTGTAGTGGGGTAGCCCATAAGGGGTACAACCCAAATTAGGGTTAGTACTTGTACCCAGGTCTATCATCAATGCACACATTCTCGCTTAGTATTCAGACATGGTTTCAGAGCAGGTCCTGTTCTAGGACCGTTTTTTTTAGGGCACACCGTACAGTTCCCTGCCCGTAGCGAGTTACCCTGCCCGTAGTGCCCTACTCTGCCCGTAGCGCCCTACCCTGTCCGTCGCGCTGCCCCACCAGTCGCGCTCCCTGCTCGCGCGCCGCCCTGCTGGCTGCCGCGCTGCATTGCCCTGCCCTGCGTTGCGCCGCCCCGCACGCGCCCTGCTCTGCGTCGCGCCACCCGCACACGCCCTGCCCTACCCCGCGTCGTGCTGCCTGCGCACGCCCTGCCCTGCACCACGCCGCCCGTGCGCGCCTGGCCCTGCCCCGCGTCGCGCCGCCCCGCGCACGCCCTGCCCTGCGTCGTGCTGCCCGCGCACGCCTTGCCCTGCCCTGCGGTGCACTGCCCTGCGCACGCCCTGCCCCGCGTCGCGCCGCCCGCGCACGCCCTGCCCTGCGCCACGCCGCCCGCGCGCGCCTGGCCCTGCCCCGCATCGCGCCGCCCCGCGCACGCCCTGCCCTGCGCCGCGCTGCCCGCGCACGCCCTGCCCTGCCCTGCGGTGCGCTGCCCCGCGCACGCCCTGCCCTGCCCTGCAGTGCGCTGCCCCGCGCATGCCCTGCCCTGCATCGCGTCGCCTGCGCACGCCCTGCCCTGCCCGCGCGCCGCCCTGCTGGCCGCGCGCTACCTTGCCCTTCCCACGCGCCGCCCTGCTGGCCGCCGCACCGCCGTGACCTGCCCGCGCACTGCCCTGCTGGCCGCCGCGCTGCTCTGCCCTGCCGTTGCGCCACCCTGCTCTGCTAGCTATGGCTACCCTCAGCGTTCTCTCCTTCGATCCTGAGGGCCGTCCGATCCAGTTTGATACATGGCTCGACGACTTACAGCTGTACCTACTGACCGATTCTAAAGACGGTGTCTCGTTGTTTGATCATACGTCTGGAGCCTCTCTCGCTCCTCTCGACACAGCTGACAATGCGACTCGCTCACAGTGGCTTACCCGTGACGCTGCTGCTCGCCAAGCCGTTCGCATCCACCTGCCGTTAGCCGAACGTGCTCACTTTGGCCAGCTCAAGACTGCTAAAGCCCTGTTCGACACTGTAGTCGCTCGTTCCTCCTCCCCTACCACTGCTGCTCTCGACCGCCTTATACTGCGCTACCTGTTTCCCGAGCTGTCCGCCTTTGCCACAGTCGATGACCTCATCACCCACCTTCGCACTAGGGACACTCGCTACCGCGCAGCGCTTAAAGCCGAGTTCCTAGACAAGAACCCGCCCCTGATGTACATCAATATCTACTTCATAGTCACACGCCTCCCTCACTCTCTTAGCGCAA